CACCGGCTCAGGGTTGACTCAGCCTTCCATCCTTCCGAGGTAGGTAAAACGAGGACCCAGATTGTTGGGGGCAATATACTGACTCTGTAAACCGCTTAGAGAGGGCTGAAAGCGCTATGAAGCAGTATATAAGTCTAACTGCTATTGCTATTGCTATTTAGCCAATGCTCTCAAAAGCCCAATTGGGCTTATTATCCAGGGAGGTCTTATTTTTAGGGAAACAGAGTACTTCCTGGAATGTGCCAACTTTAGGACGTGCAAAAAGCTATATTTGACTGGAGCACTATTCTGGAAAGAATATTCAGAGAACAGCAACAAAAATGATTAGTGGACCACTGGTTTTAAACATAAGAAGAATGGTACCAGAAATTGGGTATGCCTAGTCTAATGAAAAGAAGGACTAGAGGGGACATGTTAGCAGTCTTCCAATGTTTGAGGGCCTCCTACAAAGACGAGAGAGTCAAACTATTTTCCAAAGCACCAAAAGTTAAGACAAGAAACAATGAATGCAAGTTAACCAAAGTGAGAACAACCTGGAACTAAGGAGGAAAGGTGAAAGTTAATTAACCAGTGGAACAACTTGCCTCCAGAAGTTGTGGATGGTCCATCACCGTAAGCTTTCAAAAAGAGATTGGTCAACCATTTGCAAGCTGGGATTTTTCTGCAGGTCAGAACTGATATTCAGTCAACAAAGGACCATGTGTTAGAGATATGGGATGACCCTGTGAGCTTGTCTGTCTGTCTGTCTGATTTCCCCAGGAGAACCAGCTGAAGAAAAGGCACCCCCCATTTCTCCCTATGGCGAGACCTTCCTTATGATTTCTCCTGAAGACATGGTGAGTTGTTTACTACATAGAAGTCCACAGTTATGTTCCACTAAGGGTGAAAGGGTTGAATGTGTGGGAGAGGTAGAGGGAGAAGGAAAGAGAAAGAAAGAGAGAGGGGGGGAGGGGGAGGGAGAAGGAGATTCATATATTATGAGTTTCTCTTTTTGTTTATCTTTATCTTTGCTAGATCACACCAAAGGTGGAAATTAATTAGGGGAGGGGAAAGCAACCTAGAATAAGAAGAAATTTACTGATAGTTAGAACAATTAATCAGTGGAACAACTTGCCTCCAGAAATTGTGAATCCTCATTCCTGACAAATTTCAGTGAGTTCTAAGCAGTGGTAGTGAATGGATAATAAGGGGATTCTAGGAAAACCTAGATATGTGTGCAAATTCCTTGGGTGATGATTAAGCGAGCAACTTGGTTCTCACTTAGCGGAGTGGTGTGGTGGCTAGAGGTGGAGCTCTCACCTCACAATGAGGAGGCTGTGAGTTCGAACCTTGGTAGAGGCAGATATTTCTCTCTCTGGGCACAATGGGAATGGATCTGCCGGACAAAACCCCGCATTGGCGACAGGTAAGGGCGTCTGGCCAGTCAACATTCAGCTACATTCAGTTGCCGAGACTCCAGCCCGCCAGGGATTATATGGGTTGGTTGAATGAAGATGATGGTGATTGGTTTGCAAAAAACAACAACAACAACCCCAAGGCAATTTGTCACAAGCCGAATCCTTCTGTTCACGATGACTTAAAAAGGTCCTTCAAATGCCAACATGTTTCCCGGCTGATTCAAGTGTGGTAACTGAGGAGAAGAACCATTGCGAAAAGAGACCTCTGATGTGAAGCCCGCAAAATGCCTCCAAACTTAGCCGCCCCCCGTCTGTGACCTCATGCACTTTTGTGGTTCTCCACCACTTCCTTTGTTCAGCGTGTCACATTGTGAGCTGACGAGAGGCTGCCAACGAATCAGGAATCAGGGAAATGGAATTGCGGGTTTCAGTGACCCGAAGCGAAACTTGGTGGAGGGAAGTTCCTCTTCTCTGTTTCCTCCTCTTAATAGCCACACGCCTTTCATGTGGACTCCGTGGGTAGGTTTCCCTGGTTGCACCGTAAAACCGAAGGAGTAGATTGTTCCCCTCCTACTCCAGAATGCCTCACCTTAGTCTGAGGTCAGACGCCGAGATCTAGGAAGGGTGGAGAGCTTGCTCCTGTCCAGGAGAAGAGGGCATTTAAAGGATCTGGCAGGGCGTCCTTCAGAAGGCTCAAACGTGTCCTGTTTAAGAGGAAGCTTTTAGAACTATGGGGTTTCCATCAGGTGAGCTGGGCTGTTTGGGGACAGGTATGTGTACAGGTAAAGCAACAGAGTTGCAGCATGAGAATTCTATCATTTCAGACTGTGGACAGACTCAAGCAGCTGGGCCAGTACTCTTAAACCATCTATCCATCCATCCATCCATATATAGATATAGAGGGAAAGAAAGAAAGAGAGAAAGAAAGAAAGAGAGGGAGGTAGGGAGGGAAGGAAAGAAGGAAGGATCTTTCTCTCTCTCTCCCTTCCTCCCTTCCTCCCTCCCTCCCTCCTTCCTTCCTTCCTTNACTGTCAGATGGCCCTGGCCCCCTCTCTGCCTCCGACACAGAGCCCTCATCAGAGCCTTCCCCAGACTCCAGAACTGGCCCATGTTCCTCCCCAAGCTCCTCCCTGCGTCTGCCACCAGCTCTGCTAGCTGCTGGTGGCCCAAAACACTTGGATCTGGCCCATGGGGCTGTCCTGGAAAATTGAAGGGTTTGGCCTGCGTGGCTTCGGCCCAGTCTACCCAATGCAAAGAGAAAACATCGGTCCAGTTTGGCTTCAGCCCAGTTTACCCAGTGTGAAGGGGAAACCTCAGGCCAGTGTGGCTTCGGCCCGGTCTAACCAGTACGAAGGGGAAACATGCCAACAGTTTGGGGAGTGGCGTCAAGATGGCCATGCCCACCCAGTCAGCCATACCCACCCAGTTGGCCACACCCAATGAGTGGCATCAAGTTGGCCAAACCCACCCAGTTCCCCTCCCCAGGTCAACCAGAGCCCTCAGTGGAATTGAGTTTGACACCACTGGTCTACAGGTTGAGGCAGTAGGCTAGAAACTGGGAGATGGTGAGTTCTAGCACCACCTTTTAGGCAGGAAGTCAGATCGGGTGATTTCGAGTCTATCACCAGGAAAAAGGTGAGTTCTAGTCCCGCCTCAGGCATGAAATCTGGCTAGTTCACTTTGGGTCAATCACCAGGAGACAAGTGAATTCTAGTACCACCTTCTCTTCTTCCTCCTCCTCTTCCTCCTGCTCCTCTTCCACTCCCTTCTTTTCTTCCTTTTCCTCTTCCTTCTCTTCTCCTCTTCAAATTACTTTTGACTTTCTTCCCATGTAGGAAGCATGTGTTTCAGAAACGCTGGGTGAAGTTCGATGGAGAAAGCATGGCTTATTATAGCAACGACAAGGTGAGTCTCTTGCGCTAAATAATGTATAAGTCCACTCTGAGCAAATTATTAGTGTGGACTCAGCCATAGGCAACTGCTTAAACATAAGATTTGGGTAGCAGGCTCACTCAGGGTCTGGTCCTCATTCTCCCCGAAGGTACAAGGCAATTATTAGATGTAGAAAGTAAGGGATATGACTTGGATGGAGATATGCAGGAATCATTCCTTAGCAAAAGCATTTTTAATTCCACCACAAAGCAACATTCAGAAGTGGCTCAGGCAGATCCTTCCCTAATTCACTGCAGCATAAGAAGGAGAAAGTAGAACACCGTAAGACTTGTAACAGTCTGTTATTAGGGCCAATCTGAATAAAATTAGTTTTAGGCTTCCCATGGAGCTGATTTTCTTCCCTCCCTTTCATCTCCCCTCCCCCTCCCCTCCCTCTCTCCTCCCCCTCCCCTTCCTTGTCTCCTTTCCCCTCCCTCTCATTTTTCTTCTCCTTCCCTCCCTCCCTCTCCTTCTGCTGTCTGATTCCTTCCTTACTTCCTCCCCTCCCCTTTCTTTCTTCCTTTCCCTTGCAGTCCAAGGGACTCAATGCAGGAGTCTTCTCCAGCACCATAGTTCAAATGCTTCTATTCATTGGCGCTCATCCTTCCTTATGGTCCAACTTTCACAGCCATCCATTGCAACTGGGAAAACCAGAGCCTTGACTCAGTGGTGGGTTTCAAAAATTTTTTAGAACCTCTTCTGTAGTGTGGCCTGCTTTGTGGGAGTGGCTTGCCAGCCACATGACTGAGTGGCAGTGTCTTGCCAGCCATGTGACTGGGTGGGTGTGGCCAACTTGTAAAATGTGGTAAAACTCACTTAATAACTTAGCAACCAAAATGTTGGCTCAGAAACTCTGACATTTAAAGCACGCAAATCTTAAAGCTCTCAAGTTACAAGAGCCTTGCAAAAAACAAACAAACCCAGGGGTGTTCAAACTTGATAGCTTTAAGACTTGTGAACTTCAACTCCCTGAATTCCTCCTCCAGTTATGTTGGCTCAGGAACTCTGGCATTGAAGTGTGCAACTTGACAGTAAAGCTGTCAAGTTACAAGACCCTTGCACTCTTTAGAAAAAAAAAAACCCCAGGGGTGTTCAAACTTGATAGCTTTAAGACTTGTGAACTTCAACTCCCAGAATTCCTCCTCCAGTTATGTTGGCTCAGGAACTCTGGCATTGAAGTGTGCAACTTGACAGT